TTGCGCGAAAGACTATTAGAAGAACTGTAGCGTTTGTCCAGTTTGGGCCTCGTAGTTAAGGTCGATGAGCCGTCAGATTAAGTAAGCCAAATGGCAATCGTCACTAAGAAATCCGGTGATTTGCATGTGTGTATCGACCCTAAATCGCTCGATGCCTCGCTAAGAAGAGAGTATTATACCATACCAACAATAGACGACATGCCACCAGAGTTATCAGAGGCAAAAATGTTCACGAAAGTCGACCTCGTTTCAGCCTTCTGGCACGTATCACTTGACGAAGAGTCTAGCTATTTGACTACGTTTGGAACGCCTTTTAGACGTTTCAGATGGCTTCGTTTGCCTTTCGGTTTGAAGGTATCCAGTAAGATATTCCAGAAGCGACAGCTGTAACCATAGGACAATCTGCCCGGAGTCTTTTGTGTAGCAGATGATGTGCGGATTTTTGGTGCTACTCGGGAGAATCATGATCGTCATCTTCACAAGCTCCTATAACACTGAACTGAAAGAAACATCAAATGAAAAAGTGAGAATGTCGAGCTATGCAAAACGGAAGTGGCATTTCATAGGCACGTACTGAGTTCAACTGGGTGGAAACCGGATCCCGAAAAAATCAGGGACAGAAACGAGATGTGTTCCCCCACAAATGCAAGGGCGGTTAGCAGGCTAAACGGAATGGTCAACTAGTTGAGCCGTTTCTTTCCACGACTGGCCGATGTGATGGTACCGATTCGGAAGTTGACCCATAAAGGTGAAGCTTGGCGCTAGGGCTCTGGACAGGAAAATGCCTTTAGGGAGATTAAGTATTAATTATAAAAGCGCCTGTCCTTGCCCACTTTGATCCGTCGCTTCCACTCTAGATTCAGTGTGATAGTAGCAAATGCGACATTGAAGATGTGCTTATGTAAAGCGGTAAGCCTGTCGAGTTTCGCAGTCGCACGCTCACAGAGGCCGAGCGTCTTTACGCACAAATTGAAAAGGAAATGCTGGCGCTGGTTTACGCCGTAGAACGCTTCAACGATTATACGTTCGGCAGCAAAACAACTGTCTTCACTGACCATAAGCCACTTGTATCCAGCGCTAATAAACCACTCATTGTCGCTCTACGTCGCATGCAAAGGATGCTCATTCGTCTGCAAAAGTAGGACTTGGATATGGTCTAACGACCAGGATCCCAGAACTACATTGCAGACACGTTGTCAAGGACGCACCTGTCAGACACACGGCAAATGGAAGAAGACCCGGATTTTGTCCACGCAACACAGCTGGTCGCGGTCACTAGGGAACGTTTGCAGCAGCTCCAACGGTGCACGGAGGAGGACGAACATTGCAGGCTACTGAGGCAGACGATAATAGACGGATGGCCCGAAGACAAGAAAATATTGCCCAAAAGTGTTAACTCCGTTCTTTCATTTTCGCGACGAACTCATCACCCAAGACGGATTAATATTCAAGGGCAACAGGATAGTGGTTCCGAAGGCATTGCAACGTTCAATGTTGCAGATGGTTCACTATGCACATTCGGGAATCAACAATTGCGTGGCAAGAGCACGTGAACTGATGTTCTGGCCAGGAATGACTAGCCAAATACGTGATTACGTACCAAACTGTTTAACATGCAGGACACACGATGTGCGCCAGCCGAAGGAGCCAATGATGCTTCATGACGTTCCGGATAGGCCCTGGCAGATGGTCGCATTGGACATTTTTGTTCACGACGGGAAGAGCTATTTGATTGTGATCGACTATTTCAGTGACTACTTCGAGATTGATGCCCTTACGTCAACCTGTGCGCAAGCCGTAGTGAACAAGTTACGGTGTCAATTTGTTCGACATGGAATCCCCAAGGTGGTGATTTCCGACAACGGGCCACAATTCAGTAGTGCAGAATTCCGCGCTTTTAGCAAGAAGTGGGATTTTCGGCATCGGCTCATCAGCCCGTACCACAGCCAATCAAATGGGAAGGCTGAGTCAGCGGTGAATGAGGCGAAGAAAGTACTTACCAAAGCCAAGGAGACTCACGAGGATCCCTACCTAATACCGTTGGAGCGAAGAAACTCGCCGTCTACCGAGATCGCAGTAAGTCCGGTGCAGCGACTATTCAGTCGCAGAACAAGAACGCTGATACCGGCCGCTACAATGCTGCTACAGCCCGAGATAGCACCGGACGCTTCTGTGCATAACCGAATACGGAAGAGAATGCTAAAACAAAAGACGTACTATGATCGTGGATCGAGATGCATCCCACCCTTAGCTGTAGGAGAAGAAGTATGTGTGCAACCAATACCAAATTCGGGAGCACGTTGGCGGAGGGGAGTGATTGAGGGTCGCAGGGGTGAAAGTAGCTACGAAGTCAGGATAGGGAGCAATATCATTAGACGGAATCGGGTGCAAATTAGGAGAGCACGTAATGGACGGACTCCGCAAAGCGAGGATCGGCAGCAGCAACAAGAAAGGGTACCTGAAACCTCAGCCCGAGACAGCAAGCGTACGCGCAGCGGAAAACCGTACGGAACTTATTGCAACAACATATTAAAAAAGGAAATTATACGGTGGTGACTGAAAGCTGGGGCTAATGGAATCGTCTGCCACATTGCAGTCGATCAGGCCATCAATAGAGCAGACATGTGAGTTTTTAAACACCCAGCTACTTGTACTTTGCCTCACACTTTGGAATAGAGTGTTTGTGTGCAGTGCCGGTGAAAGTTCTTTCTTTTGACGCGGCTGGGGAACCCAGGCAAGTAACACCGGCTGCTTCCCATCTTAATGGAGGCAATCCGTTAAATTGCCTAAGCACACGAGTGGCCCGCAAGATGAATTATCAAGCTACTGCCTTATAAACCACGCCTGTTGCTTCCAAAGCCCTAGAGAGAATAGTCAAGAAGGAGTTGGCTAGGCGAACAACCTCCCCGTGGTGCCAGCTGGGTGGTTCGGGTCCACCCCGTTCATCAAATCGTTCGGCGGCAGTGTTCCAGGACGTGGTGGGTTTTCGCCTGGCAAGCGTTCTCCCTATAAAAAGCTACAAATGTCTAACAATACTGTGACGTGGCGGTTGTGACTCGCCACCAACTAAAATCACCCCATTGCTTACCCAGACAACTGCTTCAAGTCCACAGATATCACGCATTCATTTACCACTGGTGACACGTTCAAACACGAGCAAAAGTGCAGGAAAACATCTACAAATACCATAAAACAACTGCACACGCCTACATGCACACACGCATACATATATCTTCATATGTGATAACCCACTGTTCCATTCACATTAACGGACCACATTTTGTACTCTTAACATGAGCATGCCTGTGCAGGTGTGCCTCGCTTAGTCGAAAATAAACATTTTGTTTTATTTTTGTTTTATTGTAACATCGTCCACATCCTAACAAGACTGAGTCTGATCAAACCCTCGCAACATGGCTTTCTCTCAAAATGCTCTTGTGACAACTGCCACCCACAATACTTCGAACATGTCAGGACTATGACTAACAGAGGAATGGCAATCATTATAATTCTGTTGGACATGCAAAAGGCGTTCGACCGCGTGCCGCACAAGCCATTGTTGACTGTTCTAGAGTCATATGGCATTGGAAATTCTGTGCTAAACGGGTTCGACTCATACCTATACGATCGCATGCAGGAAGTTAGAATTGGACAGTAATACTCTACGCCGAAACAAATAACCAGCGGCGTCTTCCAGGGAAGTGTGCTCGGACCACTACTTTTCTTAATCTACGTAAACAACATATGCGACCCGATCAAACATGGATGCCCATTTCGGTTTGCAGATAAAATCAAACTAGTCTACTCATTGGATCCAAACCAACTATAAATGTGCCTTGGAAGCATCGGTGAAGACTTATGCGAGCTAAATATAGCTAGTGAAACTTGGGTAAGGAAGTTCGCCGCAGTATAATCCAAAGTATTTGGGTACAGATGCTGCATCCCAGAAGGCTCTATCACACTTGCCAGGAACGTGATCCCAACGTCTGCTTCGGTTCGGGACGTAGGAATTAGGTACTCCAACTCTTCAAATTTCTCCGAAGATGTGCTTTATCAGGTTGAAAAAGCAAGGTAGCTATATATCACCAGAAATTTCTCCCTATCTGGAGCACGACTTGAGTCATTCAAGACAATAGTACGACCGATTATCGATCGGATTTCTTGTTAGTGAGATACACCCATCTGTGGAGCAAACTACCCCTACAGATAAGCATGAGTAAAACAATATCATATTTCCGAATTCCCTACAGACTTTCTTCACTATATCAAATGCGCTGAAGTTCTTTGGCTCACAACAAACTATAGAAACATTGACGGAAGCTTGTATAAATAACATGTGAGCAGCTAATTGCATACAATTAGCTTGCCCACTCCATACCAATACCCACAAAACCAGAGCCTATGTCTGTGTAACCTATTGGCATCTCAGTTTTATTATCTACTCCTGAACCACATAAACTAGAAAATGATTATACAAATATCGACGCATTTTACATATTAGGTGATGGGGTCTGGCACCCGAGGGAAAATTCATGATCCGAAATTCTGTTATTTAAATTTACTTTACTATTATGAATTTATGTCGCATAAACCATAAAACACATTTACTGTACAAATGATTGCGCCCGCTAATTGGGCCGCGTATCGCTTGTCGGTAAATAAACGAATTTAGTTATTTAATTACTTTCTGTATTTAAATGTGGGGCTGGACCCACGCGAGTCTCAGTTAGGTTGACGACCAAACCATAGCCTTATCCGAATGGCCTATTCGATACCGACGATGCCCGAGATCGTTTTACCTAAAGCATGACAGATTTCATGACATTCTTTTACGCCCCATATACATTTAGGATAAAAGTGCGCAGTCATCTACAAATGATTAATTGAAGTGGCTCTAACTGTACTTCTTTTATTGCGGAACGTTAAACTGTTGATGGTGGTTAGACGATGCAGTTATAAAGAACAAGAGAGAGTTGGGTGTGTTGGAAGCGCTTGCTTACTAGCTTCTTCCTTGACTACACATCTGGCGCTGTGTGTGAGCACTCCATCGGTCCACTCCCTAGTATCCGGGTCGACTCGTCCCAGCAGATGGGCGCGCGTCATTGCCTTCGGATTGAACACGTGATATTTAACTGGACGACCAAGGCGCGCCAGCGCCATGCGTAGGATTGAGAGTGCTGTGGACTTTCCGCATCCCGACGGCCCGACCAGGACGACACCGATGCGCTGCCTTGTCTGCTCGTAAACTTCCAGTGCCTTCCTGACCTGAAATTTAGACGGTTCAAGATGGCGAGTAGTCCCAAGGATGAATTTGACACAAAGCGTGGAATTAGATCTACCCTCTGCGATGTTACGAAAATATTTCTAAATTGATTGCATCCCAAACGCGTTGGTTTGCATCCGTAGTGCAGCAGATTGTATCGTTAGCGTTACACACGAAATTTGAATCCACGAGGCAAAAGAGTGGTCAGCCGCTATCAACCAATAGCATCCGGGCAATACGCCGGAATGGTTGTGTAACATAGACGTAGCTGGGGCAAATAGCCATCGCGCTTTGGAATTGGGGTAGCAAAAATTGGTAGCACTTAACCTAGACCCACGCAACCTAGTAGACACACATGTGGTCAAACTGAAGTCATCGGCGGTTGATGTCATGCTACACGGACATCAACCATCCGCTCGTCTAAGTGTGCAACATCAGTGAATATTAGAGGGGTGGAAGCAGGTGCTTGTTCTTGATCTGGTTCCCAACCCCAAAGCCTGGAATGTGAAGTTAAAACGAAGTCAGCACAGATCCGGACAACGCAGACGTAGCATTGGACATGTCCGGAACATGGGATCAGGTCCCCTGCCTTGAGCGAACCCGTTGTGAATGCAGTCAATACAGTCACACATAGAGGGTATCAGCGAGCGAGCGAGGTGCCCGTTTGAATCGAGGGGACATGTGGGGGTAGTTAACTATACCACTTCTCACTTGCTAACATCCTTAACGCAATCGCTTACATAATTAATGCAGAAGCTATTATTCTTAGTGCACAAGCCATCATTCTTAGTGAGCAAATTGTGCCTCCTTCAAACGCAATTGCTACGGATACTCACTCAGAGGAATTGTTTGGATGCAAACCGGCTGACAGCCATCTAGTTGGTTCTTAATTCCAAACATGTCACAAAACAGAAATAAACTGGGACATGCCAACCACATGAATTTTAGCAGCTGAGGATGTGAATCAGACTACCTGCAGGAACAGGATTCTACATAGTTCTGAAAACGTATACATTCACGGACGCACAGGGTGAAGTTCATATTTCGCGCTCCTACGCAATCCGTAGCGGACACACCGGCATGCTTGCACTTCTTCTAGACGTGCGGGAAAAACTAAATTCATTTCAATTGCCAAGCAACAGAACACTATATTGGATATTTTTTCATCTGGTGGATAATGATTATGACGATAGAATTGTGTGCATGATTTTTAAAGGTTGTGGATTTCGACGATTTGTAGGTCAGTTTCTAAACTGTTGACTCAAAATCTGTGAGATTATCGCATTATTATTACTCATCTATCCCACATCATGCACCAATACTGAGATTGCAAATGACGGCGGCCTTGATAGTACGTTCGTGACAAACAACTTCGCCGGTGTTCTGCAATTAAAGTCATAGTGAATTATGCGCAGATTGCCATTTCTGACAACCTAACTGTGTGAAGCGGAGTTTTCTGCAGTGTTAGCAGCCGAAACAAGGCAACCAAATTAACTGGGCCTAGGCAGCACACATCAAGCGTCATTGTCTTTTATTTCCCCCAGCTGGAGCAGTCTCGTTGCAGAGGAACACGCTCATGGTTGTCCGCAATTTAGCGTTCTGGTGAGCTAACGTATTATGTCACTTTATATCTATTTTTGGTGTAACTGGATTTTATTTTCAAGGCATGTTCAATCACAATCACATTAAAATTATTCACTCAAAACCATCTAGAAGGTAAATGTTCGACAAACCCCCTCAGCGGACCGGGGTACAATTATCAAACGCCGACCGGTCCACGGCGATACAAAGGTTGGGGACCGCTGCCGTAGAGTGCACCGGCTTGCAATACCCCCATATATCACGAGACCAACTGCTTGTAGTGCAATCCCTTCGCAACAAAATAGTACATGTCTGCGTATTTGCGGAACAAGGAGGAAAGTAATATAATTCACCGTTTAACATATCCTTTGAAAGGAAATCGCAAGACTGCAATCAAACATCTATCACATGCCTCCTTCATCCCAACATTGGTGGTTATATCATTCCACCCGGGAGTTGTCCTGTCTACCTCGATCAGATTTGACCTGTGTGATTCGTATGGGGGCGAATTGTTTTCAATATGATTACCTTCTACCCCACGCTCAACTTAGACCTGTGGATCCATCACAAAAGTGATATTTCATCGCATAAAGAAAGAAGTTACGTGTAGTGATTGGTATCCATTGTTCTGCGACGGGGATCGTTCCGCTCCTTATGTTACGGACAACTTGACTTCAAGGTCAAGCGGTAGCTTCTACTGCGCCTTCAACTATCCGACCGAACTAGCCTGAATACCCACCAAAACGGGGCAACCTATATGCGCCTCTTGTTTAGAGCACCTTTTTAGTACCAAGCCAACGTTGTTTACTGTTGTCCTGCGTGCATTACTAGCGCCCTAGCCTCAGGCATCTCCTTTGCTCACTTACAAAAGGGGCTTGACTACACTTCGCACGCGTTTCCCTTCCCTCAGGGACTGTGCGCGCTCCAATAGATGTCCCAGAAACCCCCATTGTCCAGTGAGGGCGCGCGACACACCGTGCACCGGCTGAGCTCCGTTTAGTAAAGTATCAATTGCCGTCCATTTGAGTTGGACCACGCTAGTCTCACCCAAGTCTCACAGTTTTCATACCCACCTCCGAAAGCCCGACTATTCTGCGCGTAACTGTGTTCAGTCTGCACGCTACACTGAATTCTATTGGCTGGTAGCCTCTGCTCACGCAGTGCTACGTGGATACAAGTGCGATGATTATCAGATGACAGCCTTTGCATTAAGGAGGAAAGCTTCTGCACTAAGAATGATGGCTTGTGCACTAAGAATAACAGCTTCTGCACTAAGGATGTAAGCGATTGCGTTAAGGTTGTTAGCAAGTGAGAAGTGGTATATTTATCTACCTCCACATGTCCCCTCGACTCAAACGGGCGCCTCGCTCGCTCGCTGATACCGTCAGTGTGTGACTGTATTGGCTGAATTCACAACGGGCTCGCTCAAGGCAGGGGACCTGACCCCATGTTCCGGACATGTCCAATGCTACGTCTGTATTGTCCGGATCTGTGCTGACTTCGTTTTAACTTCACATCCCAGGCTTTGGGGTTGGGAACCAGTTCATGAACAATCACCTGCTTCCATCCGTCTAATATCCACTGATGTTGCGCACTTAGACGAGCGGATGGTTGATGTCCGTGTAGCATGACATCAACCGCCGATGACTTCAGTTTGACCACATGTGTGTCTACTAGGTTGCGTGGGTCTAGGTTAAGTGCTACCAATTTTTGCTACCCCAATTCCAAAGCGCGAGGACTATTTGCCCCAACTACGTCTATGTTACACAACCAATCCGGCATATTGCCCGGATGCTATTGGTTGATAGCGGCTGACCACTCAGGGCGTCAGGGATGCAAATGTCTTGACTAACTTATAGTAGCTTTTGCGCTAAATATGCAGTAAATTGAGAAATGGTATACAGGTGTTTTATGAAGAATGTCCGTTCCTTTGATCGACTGCACTCAGGAATTTCTCCGCTCATCCTGTCTACAAGAGTTTTATGAATCATGTCCAAACCTAGGAGTGGCTGCACTCAGGTGCTGACACATCTCGGTACGCTGACTTGCTAAGGGTCTAGTGGCTCAAATTGCTTTGCCGGCAGTGGTGAGATGATTCACCGAAGCGCGAGTTATGTGTCTATGGTTTTAGGGCTCACCGAGCCGTTCGATTGCGAGATGTGAACGTCTGCAAACACCACAGCCGAACCGACCTGTCATTCGTGGATCGCAGGTCTAGACCAACGGAGCGCACGCCGTTCGGCTGTGAGGACTGGACGTAAGCCAGACACCACAGCCGCCCTGCACGTTTTATTCTTCGATCGATCCGTAACCTGTCTTCATCCATGTGAAAAAGCCAGCAAATGGGTTTCCTGCGAAGTGGTTAGTGGGTCGCTTTGCTAGCAAATGAGAAAAACAGCCTGGCCATATGTGATGACCGGTGGATAATCGCCGTATTGCGATCGCCGCAGAAGCTGTCATCACCTCATGACTGGCTTCCAACAAACCCGAGAGCTTTTATTAGGCTTGTTTCGCTGCTAAAGGGAATCATAGTGACAGGAGCATATTGCAAGGTTACAGTGTTGTTCGCTCTACAGTTTCGATCGTGTGGGTGTTACAGCTGAAAATCCACGCATCGTGGATGCATAAAAACGAATTTTTGACTTGACTTGACGTGACAATGCTCTTACCTTTTATTCTTCCCCGACGCACTAGTGAAACCATTAGACGGCACACCAATTTAGTCATGAAACTATTGCCCTCACAGTTAGACAATTGCTAGTTGTACAAATTAATCAGGCCTTCGATGGTGTTTCTCTTGTACAACGGAGAATATACATTTATTCATATTTTTACTTATATTTACATGAAATGCGTGAAATGTCTTAAATATTAAAGAATTAGATTTTTGCAACATCAAACAATGCGGACGCCCTCGCACCATTGCGGATGAAGTATCGGCTTGCGCGGTTGTGCAACAGGTATGCAGTAACAGCTATCTCACCATTTGGTAGCTCGTTCAACATTGCGAAACCACACCGTATGCTGTGCATCGGATATTGAAGGAAAATAATTCTGACGATACAGTGCTGTGCAGGGAACCCTTTTGCTGGCTTTTTCACCTAGGTGTAACCCGACTACCGATCGATCGAAGCATGACACAATCATTGCGACTGCGGTGTTTGCTGACGTTCACTTCTCGCAGCCGAACGGTTCGGTGAGCCCTGCTACCATAGACACATACTTTGCGCCTCTGTGTCCCATTTCCCCCTGCCGGCAAAGCAATTTGCGCCAATAGACCCTTAGCAAGTCAGCGTACCGAGATGTGTCAGCACCTGAGTGCAGCCACTCCTAGGTTTTGGACATGATTCATAAAACTCCTGTAGACAGGATGAGCGGAGAAATTCCGGAACCAAACCGTGTGCCCAGACATCCTGTTGGGTAATTGCTGCTTAAATTAGCTGGTTGCAACACATGCAGTACAACTGACCACGAAGGTGATAGCCTCTTGTTATGTGCACTTAGGTGGCAACGTAGCTTCGCGGTTAAAGTATATGATACCAACACCGTCGGGTCACCATGCACTAGTTACCTGGTGTTCAAGTAATTATGACCTTATATCCGTGTTATATTATGCGGATATCTAGAACAGGTATAACTGCCATCAATGTCATCATAGCAATCGACAATCCTTTAACAAATGGTTATTTGGGTAGCCAAGGTGGGGGCGGTCACAGTGACTAAAAAAGAGACTCGTGAAACGGGGAACAATTTGTGCAGATTAGTACCTGGGCTTCCACGAGCACCATCTGGTGGTCTCGGACCACGTTGCGCAGGGTATCGATCAGTTGAATGGACTGCTCATCCTCTGATGGACATTGATGTAACTCCGCTTCTGGGAACACGTCACGTAAAAGTTCGTCAAATCGGTTCGCATCTGCTCCGGTTAGTTTCGGCAGCGTATTCGTCCTACAAATTCGTATGACCATCTGTGTCTCCTCTAGGCGGTCCACAATCTCGGCAGGTGACTCAGTGTTTGCAGCAAGTTGGTGCATCCGGGTGCGCAACAACTCCCCTGCACTGTGCAACACAGTCTTTAGTGCACGCAGTCCCCAGTCGTAATGCTGTTGTACGGATAGCAGTTGTCTGTATATGTGTATGATAAAAGCAGCAATGATGAAGGTCAACGTTGATTAGAAACTGAACTAGAATGTCATTTCCGACGCAGTGGATACAGCGAAACCAGGATCACGAACTAGGAACTACCTCAGCCGATAAGAGTTGTGAGTGGTCTATGCGATCGAACTGGGACACTGGCAAGATACAGATGGTGAGGAGGTGTTACAAGAAGCACACATCGTTTTGGACCACCTGCTGTACGAGTTGAAGAAATGATTGTATTCGAGACGTTTACCTTCAGGCCCCCAACATGGAGTAGATTGAGCAGATCTTTCGCTCCGCCTAAGAGTCACAACTGCAATTAGTCGATATTAACATAGAGTGGAGAGCTAAAAGAATGACATGTAGTCTAGAGATCTTGATTTCAGCATGTTATAAAAACTACCGGCTACTGTAGTTGCTGAGTGGTGTTGTCTTACTGACAAATAAGTTATTAAAAGAACTGACTGTTCTCGAGCCTTTCTGTAATCATGATTTCCAGATCAATTTCAAGAATGCTCGAAACTATTGGACAAATAACGAGAAATTGCGCTAGAAAAGTCACAAGAGAATTTATACAATTGACGGATATCGAAGTCAAGTGGGAGAACCACCACGCTATCAACACGAAATGGCTCGATAACAGTCCCAAACCCGACGTGGTTAAGCCTCCGGCTAACTTGAGCACCTCGGCTTCGATAGCCTACAATGCATCGAAACACTCCGGGCGACGGAAGCTATTATATGGAAAGGAACTACAATAACTGATTATTCTCAGTCCTTCGATATCTTGAGAGATTTTTGGAACCGATCGGGAAATCATCGTTCAAAAGGCTTGGTGGACGACCGGTTAATATATTTGTAATGGTGTGCCACATTTCACTTTTGACTCAAAAGCTTCTCGATCCTTTCTGAGATCATGACTTCTCGACGGGTTCCAAATACATTCAAGAAGCAGTGGTCTTTGTACGTACGGAAGTACGTCTACGTAAGTTTTCAGGAATGTATCCTCCAATTGGGACATTCGAGTGAAACGATGGCATGATTGTGCCATTGCGTTTGCGAACAAAAAATTCATGATCTTGGAAGGCATGTTATTTTAGTGAACCTCATTCGATTACTGATAAGAGGTAGCGGATGCGAAATGAGTAGAAATCAGCTGTATTACGCAAAACACGTCATGTCAATAAAGCACGTGTTACTTGTAAAGGTAGTTAGTTATATATGTCATAAACGAGTGTCTAGTGGATCAGGTTAGTCACTGAGGAGCCTACGAAACATGTGTAGCAGAGAAGTTAATTTTGGAACTGGATCGCTGTCAACCGATTTGCATTGATGACCCTATTCAGACAGATTTAATGGTTAAAGGCAATAAATAGGATAATTTGTTGCGTTATGGGAAGCGAATACGACCTTGATATCCATGAGCATGTCTGCTATATTATCCTCCCAAAACCTGACGTAACCGTGTCGGGGCGCATCGAAAAATGGGTCTCGAGATGTGATCGGGCTCTACTCTCACCTGGACAGCTCGAACAGGGAAGTTAACTTGTGTCCAAGAAGTCGAGCGTGTCGAAAACCCTCAGATAGCAGGATCATCTCAGCGATGAGATTCACATCAGGCTGAGTCATTGCAATTGGGCGGAATAGCTGTTTTAAGTTGTCGGGAAGTTTTTGTCTCCCACCGTACCCCCTACCGGCCGGGTTGAGAGTGACAAACAGGCCAGAATTTGGATCCAGGTTGATATCACGATTCAGCAACTTGACGTGAGAGGCGGATGAACGCAGGCCATCTTGGATGATCTGTGATAATAGACAAAAGAAGAATGATTTTGGGAAAAGCTGGAGACTAATAGACCACATCGATGAAAGAAAGTGGAAGACATACGTTTGTTGGTTGTCATATCGGTTACTGACATCCATTTGCATTCTCTTGAGAAACTCACGTGGTTGGATCAATCATTCAAGGAAGTAGGTGTGAATGGCAATGAATTTCAAAACAACTGCCGTCGTGACGGTAGTTTTTTTGGTTTGTCAGTGAGGAAATTAGAATTGTTGTTGTCATACGAGTTCGGTGATTGTGTAGTTGTAGCGCTTACATGAGCTTTTATTGGTATCCATACTTTAGATGAAAAGATGGGACGAACCTGAATTTGCATGGAAACTGCTGACAGAACTGCTTCATCTAATCGGTTGAATTCGTCGAAGCAACCCCAGGCGCCGCACTTCACAATTCCAATGAATATACGACCCATGGATCGAACGTCGATGCCTTCGTCACAGTTAAAGACTAAAACCTAAGAAGGCAAATTTGGGAAGAAAATCAAGCGTTGCAGAAGGGTCCACGCTTAATTCAAGCGTACTGTAGAATTGTGGCACAATGAGGTAGAGTGCTTTCATCTAAATTCCATCAGTAACCGGGGCACGGGAGGTTATCTAAAGATGGGCTCTTGCTGATCATGCGCCTAACTAGGTATCTAGTAAAGTGTAAAGTTTCAGCCCAATTCAGCTAAATAAATAAAATTCAAGCACCGTTTTTGCCAAACAATCCCAGTGAGGATCTAGCAGGTTGCCTGCGTAGACAGTTTTCAGTCTCAATTGCCCAACTCACTCTCTGGATTGTGTTGTATGCAAGTTGCCTATACACTGCCGAACATCTTATTCAAAGCTGCGGATGCACTAAGTTGAATCAAGTCAACAAAACGTATCCGACAAAAGAATTCAGCTACAGAGGTCCCAGAGTTAACCCTTTGTGTCCTGGCGGTACTTATAAGTACTACTTTGTTTAAATGGTCCTACTGCTTCGGTACAAGCGCCATTCCTGCCGGCACTAGCGAGGATAAGTACAATAGACTTCTGTCAACAAGTAAATAAGGGCCAGCACTCCGATACTTTGCTGTACAGTTTGTGGAGTAAAATTTTGAGGGTAATGTTGAGCTATAGATAGATTAAATCTGGACTCAAAGGGTTAAACCACTGGATGAGTCACATTAATTACACCCAATCGCCTAACTCCTCATCAGTCTCTTGGAACCTATCACCACGCTGATGGATGTTGCTTCAGTCGATGTGAAACAAAATGCACTTGTGAACAACAGATGTGAAGTGGAAATTGAGTGTTACCAGCCAGAAAACACTGCACTGCATGATGCTTTTCGATCTTGTTTGATCTCATCAGGTAGAGATAGCAGACACTGGGATGTTATTTGGAACCACTATCCCTTTAATCACCGGGTCACGACGCGCAAAGCTTTGCACATTGTATCATATTAGGCCAGGAGTGCAGGGCACCCTGACACCGTTTATCGTGTAACAGTTCAACGTTTCCGAATATTTTGGCAACAGAATGGGGATCATTGCTATTCCCTCGGCAACATTTGTAGCAACATTCCACGTTTCTTCACTCTATTCGGTTTGATTTTTACATGCATAGCTACGGATCATTCAATCAACACAAAACCAGCGCCAGCTTGTGCATCGGTTGGGTCATACCATTTTTCTTTTCGGTTCAGTTGGTTGAGTAACATATGAGCGCCGAAGTCCAGCGGCTCCAGCTACACCATCCCGTGTCCCCTCATAAAAACGGACAGCGGCAATGATGAAAGAGGAGTAAGAAAAGAAAAATAAACTGTTTAAGATGTAGCAGAAAGTGAATAAGAATGGTAGTAGTCTTGAGTAAACTTACTGGTGTGGAAGAATGTGTGCAAGCTCATCATGGACTTCAAAAATCTAACGATTGGTAAAGTTGAGACGGTGTACGTCTATTGAATCACTTGGGCTACGTCACTGCGACGCACATATTCCTAATCGAGGACTGGAAAAGTACACAGGCAAATAAGCCACCATCCCTACCACTGACTCCAGGAGGGGACGAGTTATTTCTGGTAGAGCCATGATGCAATTCTGTGCCGGAACTAAGCCCAACGGTTGGCTCCATCACAAACCGGGTTCCAACCCGGCCATAGATTGTTGCGCATGTTTGTCTGTGAGTACTCCGCATAGAATCACCAGCGGCAATCCAGCATTTCCCCAAGTAGGAATGATTGTGGACTAAATAAAAGCGTCACAGGACGAGAAGATTCATGCACAAATGCACGTGCACACCCATGAAGCACTTTATAGCTAAAGCCACTTGGGTGCTGTTGGAAGCTACAATGTAAGTAGAAGGATCTGTCGGCTTACATGCGAGAACTGTCGTAGCGTTTCGCAAATTTCTAAAAAACCGTTGCTCCCACCCAAACGAATAACAACCTCTGAATAATCCAGATTCACACTGAATATAGACTGAGGGCGTGGAATGAGGTGCGGGTTGTACGGTACGATTCATCCAGGTCCCTCAATAGAAGCACATCATGTCCGCAACCATGGTGACCGATAAGTAGGGAAACAGATGGTTCTAACTTTGTGGCTGCGTAGCCCATTGCACAAGTAGTTCCGGAAGAATCTTGTTTTTTCATGATAACGAGTGGTTTAATGAAGTAGGGTATGCTTGAGACCGTCCAAGATCCCTAGTTCTTTCAAAATTCATCCTCCTGTGGGTCCCAGGCATCCTACACTGATAGACACCTATTGATGGCGCGGTGCAAATTTGGCATCGCGCTGGTATATGAGCCGTATTGCATTAAAGCAAGTCCGTTTTCTTCGTCTTATCCCTTTGCTTATAAACGTTACGTAGTACGAATGACCATGGTTAAATTGATACAATTGCGCAAGTTTGAGGCACCAACGCGACCGTCTATTTTGATCTGATGGACGCTTACTACCTTTTTCCAGTGAAAATGTGCTGGATCAATGTTTCATCGATAAGCAAACCGTCATAATAGTTCGTTATGGCGGTTTAAACGGTGCTTGGAGCAAGGGGTGTCAAGTAGCTTTCATGAGACAGATTTAAGGAGTTGCTTGGTTACAGTCCCAGCGCAGCGCACAATTTAATTCTTTTAAAACCTGGTGTAATAAAATTTTGTCTTAACTGCTATAGTTGGACCAAAGGTGTTGTGATGCAAGCTGTGAAGGCTTCATTGCAATCGTACCACTAACCGTTTGTATACAACCAGATCACGAAAATTGCTTCCAACTACAGTGGAGCGTTTGCCTGAGGTGCAACTCAACGCAGTCATGGTTCAACCCTAGGTATGAATGCATGGATTGAAAACACTGTGCCAAACAACTCTGTATCGGATGCCCAGTTCACCAGTGATCTAGTTGGTGAGGAAGGTGGGCCACTCGGATGCCCATTTGTGAGAGACATAGTGAAAGATAACCGGGGTCAAATTAAGTTGTGTGCCTGCATAGCATCTGTACGGGAGTGTGCCTTCTTAGCGTCCATAGCCCAGATGACTTCGGAGGACCTCACTGCAAGTGGTAGCTCGAATTTACTTGGTCTACGTGTCACATTTGAAGCATATGGAGCGAGATCCACAAGTGTCATAAGCTGATAGAAATCATCTGGTGGTTGATGGTCAGCTTCGATGTCACATCACTTTTCAACAAGGTACCAAAAGAAGAGGCGCTAGGAATAGCAAGACGTTGTCTAAATGAAGATGTCACTCTGAGTGATCGGACGAAACTAACGGGTAACCAGATAATCGAGGGTATGATAGTGTGTCTTCACATGTTTCACTTCGTTTTTCAGTCGAAGCTCTACAGTCAAGGAACAAGGTCTCCCATGGGATCGCTAATATGCCCTGTACTGGCGAACATGTATATGGAAGACTTCGAGAACAGAAAGTTAACAAACACCAGTAACTCATCAAAAGTTTGGTGGCGTTATCTAGACGATAGCTTTGTACTCGTTAAACGGGATAAGAAGGACGAGTTGCTTGATCACTCAAACTCCATTAATGAGAGGATACAGTTTACTATGGAGATGGAATCTTGTAGCGGTAAAAGACCATTTCTTGACTGCCTGGTTCACAGGAATGAAGGAAATTTAAAGACGACAATATATCGCGAGCCAACAGATACTGAAGGCGTACTTCACTACACCTCAGGTCATCCGAAACAGGTTTACGCTGGGATAGCATCAGCGCTGTTCTACAGGGCACAAACCTTGAGCACGATGGAGGAGGACAAAAAGGCTGCGCATAAAGTGTCAATGATCAAACGCCAATTGCATGAAGTGCTAAACCGGCAGTAAAAACGCACAATCGAGTGGATAGGGACGGTCGGAATTCCGTACAAGGAAGGCACTTCCGAGGCAATTCGGAAGGTACTAAACAAGGAAAATATAAGGGTGTTCTTTCAGTGAGGTCGAACGTTACGTTTGGCGCTGGTACAACTGAAGAAACCCCTTCCCAAGGATAGGACAACTAACTGTGTTTATAAAATGAAATGTAAGGATTGTGCGCATGTGTACATAGGCCAAACAGCGAGAGAATTAGGCACACGAATCTCAGAGCACAAGAGGCGCATTTCAAGACTACAAAGAAACGAGTTTGAATACCAGGCAATAGTAAGAGACGCGGCCTTGGCTGTGCATGCATTAGACACGGGTCACCAGATAGGTTTGGAAAACCTAGAGGTCATTAAGAGGGGTATACGATCAACAAAGCGGTTGATTGCCGAGGCAGTGGAAACTGCCAAATCTGACGACTGCGTGAATAGAATGGAGTGGGTAGAACCCTCTAATGCGTGGCGATCGATCTTAAGCCGGCCAGCCTGACGAGCATCGGTGCCTGGGTCAGATTGGAAAGTGCAAACCGACTGCCATTGTCAAAACTATGAGCTTATCCGTCAATGCCATGACGCATAAAGGAACACCTGGACTATTCCCACTGTGATTGAACCACCTGAGGTGACATCACGAACTGTTACCGTAATGACACCTTGGCTCAACTCTCGGGTAACGCGGTTATCGCCCCTGTTCGCTATAAAATCCCACTCCAATTGCACATGGATTCACCTGGTCTGACGAAGCCCTTGTGTCAAGGGCGAAAGGTTACCAAACTATTATACCAACCGATTGTTTCCAAACCTCTCTGAACTCATCTGGTAAGTATTTTACTTAACTATCATGTAGTGAGAGTGTGTACTACCTTAAAATAGGTTCGCCATTGAAAAGAAGGGTCAAAAATCGCAGTCCCTTTTTAATAGCTCGACACAAGTTTGAGACAAAAATAGGACAAGAGAGCTGAGCGGAGACTTCTCTTTGCAACATCTGCAGTTTGAGCACTTTACTGAAGACGAAAAGTAAGAAGTCGGGCTAGTTCACCTAGTTATAACACGGTAGTTACAAGCGTTGTGGTCTGAGATAAATCACAACACACCACTTTGAAGTAATGCTCAGAGGAGTATGAGCTGACATCGATCTCGACTTCTTTTAGGGCCCGATCAAACCGTGACTCTAATGATGTGAAAACGGAAGAATTGTACCCAGGTGTGAAAATCGAAAGGCACGTACAAACGCGGAACCATTTTCTAAAAGAATGAAATAAGTAATCAGAGCGCGTGCTTATCCAAAGTCCCAGACACCTCAAATCCCGTAAATGTGATCTTGCTCATCATCTTACTTGAAGCATCCTAACGTCGGGGAGATCAAAAGTCTGCCAAATTCATACGCGAAGGGTGACCTGTCTGCATTCCACATTTTATGAGTGTGTCCCTGTGTAACTTACCTGGCGACCCATGAGATTACCTAGAGCCTTTACTGACTCAGTTTTTCCGGTTCCAGCTGGTCCATAAGGGTTGCCACCCAGCCCCATGCGCATAGCCTGAGTTAGGGTCAAGTAACACCGATCAGTAAGAGGGGTGTGTACCAACCGCGGAGTATTGCCTTGATATTCGAAAGTGTAAAGGAACACTGCATCAGCCATGCAGATTTTTGGATCAGAAAGCGGTCCAGCTGACGCAGATGGTTGTGCTCCTTCGTGTTTAGATTCCAAAGTATTCTGTTTCGTTCCAGCGTAGAATCGTAATTGGCGTTGCCACAGCCAATCCCTTGAATTAGCCGCACCACCATCAATGAGCTGATCAATCACACCAAGCGAGTGAACGATATCCAGTATAAGTGCGCGCAATTTGGCAGCTAACACATGCGATGAAATGGAACATTGATCTTCCGAATTTGTCTCGCGTGGTTTCCTCAAAATGTTCAAATCCACAGAGGTATAGGCAGAAAGTTGAGTCTATGGAGCGTGTAAAAAAGTAACGTTGCCGTTTTAACTCAGTGCTCAATGCAATGACGAAGGCAGATGAATGTTTTAGGGACTATCAATCGCATATACATAAGGAAGTGAGCAAAAACCACAGTAGGAACCGGTGCACCCTGTTAGTGGCTGTGGTGACAGCTGAAAATTCGGACATGCAAAAGGATGGTGAGGAGGTCACCAATCAGCTATGATTAGTGTGGTGACATTCAGTTGGATAAGTGTTATAATCTTTCCACTTGACGCGATTCCGAAATAACTTTACTGCTCCACAAAACTACTAGCTTTACCGAAGGGAAAATCAGAACGCCAAAGACCTTGACGAAATAACGTATAAATAGCAGTCAACAAAACTGTACAATTGCAGCAGACCTTGGCTGTATTTATAAGTCTCTGACTGACCTTCGACTTCTAGAATAGGAAGGTCAACTGTCAAGGTTAGTTGTTCTAGATAGATTTAGCCGACGTTCAGGAGGGTGGAAGTCACGTGCATGCCTTAGAATATTCCAGAACCACCGAAATCGATGCGATAGTTGGTAACAATCGATTAATCACTGAAATAAGGGTTTTACCGAGAAATTCTTATCCTTTCCCGGACAATAAGCAAGCGACCACAATCGCATAGGATTGGGCCATCGGGAGACGCTTAGCCAGTGCACAGCTCTCACCATCAGCCGGAAAAATGCATTTGGTTTCTACGGCAACAGACGCAATCGCATCCTGTTGTGAGAAGCGGCTTCGTGGGGCAGCGACAAACGAAATGAGGAGACAACCGTAAACCGCACTAATAACGAAGCATCCCAACTGGTTGTACGCTGTAATTGACAACTTACGTTGCAGCTAATAGCACTTGAGGGAAGCCCAGTACATGCCCTATATTGAAGGGCAATGCAAAATTGCAGACAGCAACAACGGCAATGACTGAAGTCGAAACTCAGTGGTCATTACGCTTCGGTTCAGATTTAACAAGTTGGACGACGGCGATCCAAATATCAAAGGGTGGCAGATCTAGTTATTAATGTTTGCAGCAACGCGATAGCAATAAGTATTAATGGCGATGCAAATGGGATGGAATACTGGACAAACAAGTCACACCATTGGCTCTCGTGACAACCGCTAACTCCTCTAGTCTAGTGACAAAGTTCCATCGAGGTCACGGCCCTGTGTTATAAAAGCAACTTGAAGATTGGAGAGGTTTCAATGTTGTTCGCTCGCAACACTTCACCAAAGACCCATCTCGCTCTCGTTTGGACTCATCAGGTAGAAATAGTCGGAGCTGGGAGTGGAACTCGGAACCCAATGGATACCGGTTGACGTCTTGATCACTAGACCACTGACATTCCAACACAACTGTCCCTGTCTTTGAGTTCACCTCGGACTGGCCAATCAAGCGTTGGTTTACCCCTGGTACGTGAATAGCTGTCTAAGTAGCAGTTTTTAGAGAGTAGTGAAGACTGAAATTTGAATAGAATTTTCGACGGACAGCCACTACACAGCCGGAAAAGGGTTGGTAGCTGTTTCCTCGGTTTTGGGAATAATCACCAGTGAGCATTCCATCGGTCCTCTGTGGGACGAATGCTCTCGATCATACGCATACACGTTTGTGAATCAGACTACTGGGCCAGAAGAGGTGGGAAGCAGCCATTCTGACTAAGTAACTGACTGTGGTATAGGGCGTATACTCATCTTTCTCTCTCATGCGCGTCTCGAAGGTGCAGAGGAGAGGATTGGTTCCCTGAGCCGCTAACTTCCCATTGTCGTGGTCCGTAAGTATTTTAAGTTAACTTAGGCAATTATTGCTTTTTAAAGAGCAGTGCAAGGATGGATTCAAGTTAAATTTTTGATGCTAACTATTCCCAAACCGATGAAACGAAGGTCAATACTTTTTCGGACATGCAGTAGTTGCCTAAGTGCGACGGATCTCCAAGGATAATTGGGCCCGAGGAAGCAACGCTCGCCATACCCTCGACATCAGCCCTATTCTTGGTCTCTCTCCCACTAACTATGCGAGGCACACTATAACTGCAAGGGAATGCAGACAATGAACGAAGTGAAGTCTAATCTACAAATGCGTCGGGACTGGAGTCATTTGTGGTAGGCCTCGTAGCAGGTGGTAAAGTTATTTTGGCCAAGTATCAACTTGGGTGATGGTGGGGAACTCGACGAATCAATGATCAAGAGATGAAACAAGTGGTGAACGTGCAGTCAAGACGCTTACTCTGATGGAGATTGTGCTTAGGTGGGACGCAGTACTGGCTTTGAGACCAACATACCAATTCGAAGGGAAGGTCAACCACAATTTTTGTGGCAATGGCCTATTTGCTCTAAAATTGCGCATTCTCATCTCTTGGTGTTAACACAGTTGCAAGCAAAGATCACTGGCCCAATAGTGCACTTAAAACGATAGAAAGGAGAGAAATCCTCATTATTCTCCGTTCATTGCTGTCACTTTGTATTGCAGAGCGCCATTGTGGTGATTCTTCATAAACAACGTTGTACTTTTAGTGTTTGACCGTGCAACTGCGCCTAGTATAATTCCGATTCCATTAAATATGATTCCTGCGTGCTTTCGCGTTCGTTATTACTCCCTTGTCGAAGCTACCTCTGGGCTTGAGCCAAGTCCATTTCAATGCCAATTACTTATGAGAACATCCCAGCCATCCGTGCAGCACTAGATTAAGAGGTACCTAAAGACAGTGAAAAGTTTCGGTGTTACTCTCTACCATCACTGCACTCCACGACCGACCAACTTCGTCCTGATTTGGGCACGTCAGGTAGAAATAGTCTGATCTGTGAGTGGAACTCGGGCCATAGTGGTTGATGGATATCGCCGTGATCACTGGACCATTGAGGTCAGCGATCAGCGCCTGCCAATTGAAATTGCGTGTCGCAATCTAGGACACACGGCGGGTACTCCAAAATTTTACATTCAATTTCTAACCACTGTGTCATGCGCTGTTCGCGGAGCTCAATGGTCTATTGCTTATGGCAACGACCACAAATCACTATAGGTCGAGTTCCACACAGATCAGGCTATCCCTACATGCTGAGTCGAAAGTAGGACGAAACCGTCTGCCGTGAAGTGCAGGGATGGGAAAGAGCCACACCGAAATCATCCACTTCGGTTAGGGTCAAAGTGATGGGATTGGCATAGGTGGACTTCAAATTCAACAGAGGCCACAACTGAGACTGCGTGTCGCAAGCCAAAACACACGGCAGGTGCTGCAGATAAGGAAAATCCACTTCTAACCTCTCTCTTAAACACTGCTCGCGGAACTCAATGGCCTAGTGATCGTGACGATATACGCCAAGCACTATGTGCCCAGTTCCACTCCCAGCTCGGTTATCTCTACATGATAAATCGAAACCAGGACGAAACCGTCTGCCGTGAAGTGCAGGGATGGGAGAAAGCCAAACCGAAACCCTCCGCTTCAGTGACGGTCCGAGTGATCGCTTACTTCAAAGTCAACCGAGGCCACAATTGAGATTGTGCGTCACAATCCAAAGCACACGGCGGGTTCTCCAGCATCCAATAGCTAGTCTTCTACTTGGAGATGCACTGCGAAGAAGCTGTAGTACTATATAACAACGCTGAGACCGGGTTCCTCTTGCTTTTCCAGTTAAGCGGTCTGTTTTACTATCCATAGAACGTCGCGACAAACAAGACCAATGGTGAAACACGGGCGGTTTACTTTAAGTCGAGTCAAGATCCAACACATAACTACAACTGCACCTCTGCGGCACAGTGCTCAAGTTCACCCGGACCAGAACGGTAATACTCTATGATCAATTTGACGGCTGTTTCGAATTACCGAAGTAGGCAGACCATGCGGTAATCAGTTAGCGAAAGTAGCACTTCTCAACTTGCACCGATCGAGTGGTGAGACATGGTGGTTTACGAATGCTGCATTTCATACTTGTCGCGGAGCGATCAGTTGATCTGTACAGCAAGTCTCAGCTCTGACACAAATGCGCTTCTAGGAACCTAGCCATGTAAAACATGCAGTGGATTGATCTAGACCAGAAACTCATGATATCTATTAGCATGGACTACCTGTAGCTCCTTCTTTAATACACTGAGCCTTCCGCAGTTCAGCGCCTCTTCTGTTCTCCGAGCAAACTGAATCGCTTCGCTCAGCAGGAGAATTTGACCGGGATACGAACCAGGGTCTAAGTGGCTTCTTCGGCAGCTTTCAGTGGAACTCTCTGCAAGGCACTGTGCTAACATAGCGTCGAGTGTGGTGCGCATCTCAGAAACCAGGCGCCCAAGCCAGACTTCCACATCGGGTGTTAGCTGAATCGGCCGCTGGAGCCGAACTAACTCTCCGTCTTGGGAACACATGGCAGTTATGGTTTTGCACACTGTGTCTTTCGCTTGCTCGTCAAACTGCACTCGATGGATGCCTTGAAATAACTTCCGCAAATGTGTCTGGATAATTGAAGGATTAGTCGCCTGACCGAGTATTTCGAGTAAGTCATCATCCCCGAGAAAATAAAACCGAGGGAAGATGTCACGTTTTTCCTCCAAATAATTATTCAATGCACGTTGACATCTTGTCATTTGATCCTAAAGAATTAGAAAAGGAAACGAAAATGACGTCAAGCGGAATACACTTCTTTAGTTGCAAAGTGAGATGGACAAAAACGGCTACTTAGAGTCATTTGCACTGTCCGTCTGCGAGCAAAAATGTCAAAAGGATTCTACAAAACATGTTCTGTACAGATGAAAGAAAAAAATGCACTTCTGCGGAAGACTCAGGCGGAACTAAGACCTGCACTCAATGTCTACGACATCAGGGTAACTTTATTCAGCATGTTACGGGGCAGTGACACTGGATATTTTCAGAAACAAGGGACAATTTAATTTGAAATGAAGACTACAGTATACCAGTTATCTACTTAAATATAACCGGCCCTTTGCAGGTGTCCGAAATGTCGAAAGACCTCTGCATGAAAGATTGGGAAAAGGTAAGTCAAGTTGGATGGACACGCAGGTTATTTACAATGGCCCCGTGGCATCCTCACGGTCAATGTACCGAGCCCTTCTATTCGTTGCCTGCATCTGCTGGCATGTGTCAGTAACCCCCTCACCCACACATCGAGTAGCCTAATTTAGAATACTGGACCGCTACATTGTAGAATATCCTGGTTAGAATGCAATTTTACCTTTCGTTTTCCTGACGTGTTATGCCTTGCGATACTTCGGCTACGAGCCAGTCACTGAGCGTTAGTTCTGCAATTGCTAAAGTGTGACAGGCACATACCACCCTTATGCAGGCGAACTCAAGAATTAGAAACAGTGGAGTGAATTCCGTCGTTGAGTAATCTTGCACCGACATGTTAGTAACTTTGCAATTGTCTCCCTCGTGCCGTCGAAGGTCCGCATAAAATTGGCATATACAATGTTAATATCGATCTAAAATGTTCCAACACCAATCGACGGCATGTTGTGTGGGGCCTGACTCTCATAGAGCTGTGTTAGAATCGTATTAGCCTATGATACAGTGCATTCCATTGTTGGTGTCAGCCGTTCCCGGAGTTCTCTATTACGGCGCTGTGGTTGGGAATAGACATGGCAGCTTATGCCTGTGGATGGAATGTAGGTGGCTTGTGCTGCACCATTCATAGTCCCACCCGCACATTTCATATGGAAGTGTGAGGGTTGGAGCCACAGTTGTTTCGAAACTGAGCTGCATTGCTCTACTACAGGTCGTCCACAGAGTTGGAGAATCACCGCAATGTCATGCCACAGTGATTACAATGTCGATAAATTACGCACTTGCCAAGTTCTCCACTTGTGCATTTGCAGCTACTGAATTTGCACCATTTAGGTGTTTCGAGCTGTGGGGGGGGGCAGGCATGTCAGGTCCACACAATGTGGTGGATGAGCATGTTGTTCAAGGAACAATCTGCTAACCATGGTCCCTGATTCGATGCCTGTTATCTCCACCTGATGAAATCAAAAAGGCTCGAAAGCTGTCAGTTACTGCCTTGGTGAGTGGATTATAACCATGGCACAATGGTGCATTACGGGTAAGAAAAATCAGTGCTTAACAAGGTTCACTTCAATGCGAGTTGCACTCTACATTGAGGTTGCCGCTCACAATCCATTCAGACAAGTAATGTTTCAAAGTGACCCTCCAATCTCGAGAAATGCTTGGGACCGATCGAGAACTCAGTGTTTCAGCAGGGTTCGGAAAATCTCGTTAGTATAATTGGTGGGCAAAGTTTCGATTTTGACACAAAAGCTTCGTCAGACAGAGTGAGCCAGTAGATGATTGGCATAGCACTTATAGCAAGCTGGGAAGATGGTTGCGAGGGCCATGATGTAGGTAATCGCGTAACAGATCCATGTATCACTTTAGGTGGTGCACGGAACGGTCCCAAGTGATCCGCATTACAAAGTCACACAAGTAAGCTCATGACAGTGATGGGTGTTAGGTCGAGTTGATGTTCATTCGCTGCCCCGGATCCGTCAGCCGATACTTCTCAGACCGGTAGGGCTAAGACAGACCACCATACGTTCGTAAGCACCACTGTTCATTCTGTTCACGCAGTTGTTTACCTTACTGATCTCAACCGCCTCAGCAGTCAGGCTTTGGGTTGTTTATCACAACCCCAATCGACTTCCTGACCTGTATCTATCGCGTGTATTGCTACTGCCGAATCCCTTTATGGAGCTCTGTACTCAAACTCGTTTCTCAGAGGCCACGATATGAGCGGTTATGTTCTGCTATCGCGTGCGTAGCTCGCTTGCAGTGTGGCTTACGTGCACGTGTGCGCAGCCTTTGCAACTAATTTTGTAGTCTCAAGTACTTGCCCTATCTGCGGTAAGGGAATCTTTCAAGTACGCCAGTGTGTAACGTAGCGTTCGACCCAACTGGAAACTAACCTCTTTCTTTGTTCAGTACCCTCCGGATGGCATCCAAAGTTGCCTTCTTATAAGGGATTCTTACCATCCCAATCTGCTCCATAGCATGTCTTGGATGTGGATTTAAAATGCTATGCAATTGGCGTTTCACCAACCGCCTCGGTTCATTGCCGCCTCCGGGCCACCTTCTTATCTTCTTTCTCTGTGCACGGGTTTTGGGCTCTGTGAAACAGAGATGAAGCGATCCCAGCATACACATACCCTGAGTAACCTGAACTGTAATGGAATACCCCATCCGTATCCGTCGGCTTAAGAAGTTGTGCAAAGATCCGCATGGTTTGGAAAAAACCCATTCCGATTTAAAGTTGTTATGCAATTATCGGGCACTCACTACACAGCTGTGTGTATGAGCTTGGGTTACAACTGCATTCAATCTAGCCAGTTATCTCATCCTAAGTAGAAAGCAAAATGGAAGCATGTATAAGAAAACTTAGGGACGAAATACGATGCGAGATCAACCGCGGTATCCTTGTCGATATTCGTACCTGCATAGTGGAAAGCTGAGTCTTAAGGCAATTCCCGCGCTTTCCAGCTACCAGACTGACCACACGATTATCGGCCTTCAAAGACGAAAGCAGTCGTCGAAATTCGCCATCGACCTGTGCAAAGCGTCCAGCTTCTTTTGGCAATGCTCCTCTTCCAAGTATGGGTTCCAGATACACCCATTTTCTTTGTATGCTTTGCAAGACACTCAGACAGTGATCCAGATCGGTCAGACGTTGGTCCCACGCCCCTGCTCGATCTGCAAAGCTGCCGAATTGTGGCGAATCTTGCAGCGAGGCCAGCAACGATAAGTTGTCACCTACCTGGATGGATAAACAGACGTACAGTAAGACAATTGCAGTTCCATTCTACACTAAAATTAAATATCATGATATCAAAAGAAACACCGGTTACTCAACATGAATACTTTTGGATACAGATTCTCGGTGAAGCTGTGTGTATTTCTATCTCAGGCATTAATGAGAGGCGAATGATACCCTCAGGACAATTGAAAAGCTCTCTTTCTGCATTAATTCAGAGATAAAGCCAGAAAGCAGAGTCTTGCTGCAATTTAGGTCTGGCATGCCGAACTACCTCTTCGAGTGCCAGCTGGGTGGTTCACGTTTACCCCGTTCCAGCGAAGTGTTCGGCGGCAGTGTTCCAGAAAGTGGCAGATTTTCGCCTGGCAAGTGTTCTCTCTGTGAAAAGTCACACATGTCTGTTTAAAAGTGTTGTGACGTGGCAGATGCGACTCGCTACTAAATGAAGTCACTGCCCCTTGCTATACCCCGGTGGAACATTGTATTTCAGCAAGTATGTGCTGACACCATGAGGAAGGTTAGGCCCCTGTTTGGTAACCGACTAAACGAAAGGCGTATGAACCGAGTAATCGGTCACCGGTTCTAGTTGGTGCGATTCCATAAATTCGCCAAAGGGCTTGGGGTGATTGCCCCTAATACAACTCCCTACTTCAGATAGGACAACCAAGTAGTACCACGCACACTGACAAAACCATGCATCGTTCATCTGATATATCGCGCTCAATTGCTTCTACTTCCGCAACCCACACATCTGCTTCACACGCCACCTGTTCATTTGTTACCAATCACTGTGATCCGTTATCAGCTGAATCCCATTTTCCTTAATCTAGTCCCCCTGGTTTCGTCGACGCCCACGGAGCTCGCCCAGTGACATTCTTTCGGCCTCAGGTCCTCGTTCCCATCTGGCATGCTTTAATGTGCGTACCCCCATGCAGATCGGGCACCTTGAGATCCCTCGTCCCCGATGTTTGCTATCTTTCCGGGACCCGATTGCAAGATCCCAATACTGTGATTGGGTTGAGATCTACGACTGACCACGGAGCCACATTTCACCTACGTTTATCTGGTGACACAGAAGCAGCTGTGGCAGGTTTGGCTGGCGTTGGTATAGCGCTGAGTAGCAAGGCGGAGGCCGCACTGCTGGACTGGTTCTAGATTAGCAATCGGCCGTGTGCACTTTGGTGTCGGGGATCATACAGATCAACAGACGACGTGAGGATAGACGCAACTTGTTTGTGATATCAGCTTGTGCTCCAAATGACCGCAGCTGCGACTTGGTCAAGAACGATGTTTATCGTGAACTTCACCAGCTCTTGCTCAGAGCTTGCTAAGCTGATAATATTGTCCTTGCTTGGGACCTTAATGCATAGCTCGATCGTCTATTACCGTCTGAAAGTCACCATTGTGGTCACCATACGCTCAATGAGAGCGACAAAGATAATGAAGGGTGACTTCTTACAGTGTGTGAAGAAAATCGTTTGTTTCTCTCCAGCACCGACTTCAAGCATTGGGGGAGATGTTCCGCAACATGGCGCCCAATTTCTGCGGCTCGGTCATGGTCTCAGCTTAATCCCATCCCAACCAGTTACATCTGGCTGGGTAGTGTAAAGGGTTGCAGATCAAACTGCTTCACATTTCTCTATGCAGACTATGCTTTTGACCTTGCGAGCCTCTACATGGGTTTTGGAGAGTCCCCGAAAAAGAAACATTGCAAGTTAGATACCAATAAACCGTCTCCTCCCTCGGTTTATCTGAGCAACCACTATTCCCTGGTCGATATACTCAGCTGTGACCCACCGCAAAACATTAGCGAACACTAAACTTTTAGGCAGAAGATCATGATTGCTATGGACAGGCAGTTTGTGGCCTTATTCAGCACTCGATGAAGGCCTGGATCTCCACGTGCTCTCTGGATCTATTTGACCACCGCAGAAATATCTCAGCGGTCTAATCAACATGAAGTGCGTCTTTCTGTCAGTCGGCAGCTCAAACAAGTTCTACGCAGTGATGATGAAGCTTGGTGGTCTCAGTGTGCTTCGCAACTGGAGGCTGCTGTCCTGTATGGTAATGCTCGCAAGCTTTTCCAGTCCATTCGATCCACGAGCCACAGGAAGCCTCATGTCAGTGTGACTATCCGTGAAGCTGACGGTTCGTCGACTGCCAACCTGCAGAGACGCTTGGATCGATGGGGCGAACGTTTTCATTCCCAGTTCAATCAGCCCTCACCGTTCACCAGTATCTCCTGCGGAACTAGCTGCCTGCCCTTAGTCGTTATAATGTATCCACCCAACGAAACAGAAGTTTGTCTTGCAATTCGATATTTGAAAAGATTCAAAGCCGCTAGCTCAGACGGACTTCCTCCGGAGCTGTTCAAATATGGCGGCGCAATTATCACCAGTCAGCTAACCTCATTATTCTCCTAAAGCAGGCATGAAGTGGAGGTGCCTTCTTCCTAGGGCGAATCAGTTATTATTTCGAGTCGTAAGATGGATTGTCGAACTTTATGCGCTAATCACCGGGGGATTAGCCTTAGTTCGGTTGCTTCCAAGCTATTGGTATTCATTCTAATTCGTAGATTAGCCCTTATTCGTGAATCACAGTATAGGGAAGAACAAGCCGGCTTCCGTCTTGGCTGTGGGCATGTGGATCAAATCTTCACGCTCCGCCAAATCTTAGAACACCGTCACCTCTACCAGAGACCTAGCTTCGTTGCATTCTTAGATATCCGTGCTGCGTTCGACTCGGTTCATCGATCTATTTTATGGCGTTGCTTACTAAGGAACGGGGTCCCAGAAAAATACACTACTATCCAGCACGCACTCTACTTTCACGTATCCGGCAGAGTGAGGGTCTACGGCAAGCTTTCTTCGTCCTTCGCTGTCAATGGCGGTGTACGACAGGGCTGCCCTATGTCCCCGTTTCTCTACAGGTTCACGATTGAAGACGTGCTGTCGAGGGTTCTGGAGCGTTACCAACGTTTTGGACTGCAACTAGTCTTAGATAAGCAGGTAACGGACTTAGGTTGTGTCGATGACATCGCCCTACTTGGTGATGAGTCGCGGAGTATGCAAACCATCCTAAATCGTTTGGCGATTGAGGCATCTAAGTGAGAAATGTGCTTCGCTCCGTGGAAGTGCAAAGTGCGTCTCCAGGATTGGCACTCGTCCGTTTCCGTACTCACTCTTGAAGGTGCACAGCTTAAACAGTCTAATAGCTTTGTCTACCTGGGCAGCTGCGTGTCTGCTGGTGGCGCTATCAGCAAGCAAATTTCTCTCCGCATCGTCAAAGCTCGGTATGTGTTTGTCAGCCTGCAACACTTGTGTGATTGAGTTTACAAAGTCATCTTTAGGGTGGTGTCGCTATATGGCAGTGACCCATGGCTAGTTTGCGTAGATGACATACGCCGGCTTTCGGCCCTCGGTAATGGATGCCTGACGATTGCTCTTGTTTGGTGGCAATAGCCTACTTGCAACGGTGAAAGAGGTCGTGTCTTAGGAAATGCGAGTATTCCGTTCAACAAACTGATTTTGCTGCGTCAGTTAAGATGGTTCGGCCAGGTCCTGCGTACGTTAGCTGAGCGTTTGGTCAATCGCGTTCTGTTTGCTCGCGCAGGACTCGACTGGAAGAGACCACGTGGTAGTCAACCATCCACCTGGCGACAGCATATGCAATACTTAACCTCACGTCTTGCTACCGTTGGATTTACTCGCCTGTCTGGTTGTGGACCTAAGGACAAAGTGCCGATGGTTGGAAACAAGTCAGCAAATGCCGCACAATCGAAACCAGTGGAAGGTCTGTGTAAATATTTGTTTAGATTCAGGTACCTAACGCCTAACAATTAAAAGGGAAAAAAGGGGGTGTAAAAAGATGACCAAAAAGGTTCTGTTCTTCTTGCTGCCCAATAGCTGAAGTGTGTTGCTCACCTTGAGCTAATGTGTCATAACGATACCGATCCATTAATAGCCATGGTGTTTGGCTTTGTGTCTAATTTTTAGACTGTTGATACTATATATATATATATGTCTGAGATGAAGTAATGTGCTGAGGAGGACGTCTGTGCTCCGATATGCCAGGCGTTGAAAGCGGGTATGGGTAGCGGAAGTGAACCAGACAGTTTGAGACAAATATAAAATGGTTGGAAAATCTCGGTTTAATTTTGTAAAATACCGATAAAATGATTGGGAGATTGGTGCGGGGCAGTGTTTTTACCGGAATACTAGTGCATGTAGTAGTCTCAACACCACGGAAGATAAATCTACCTGACTGACAATGTCCTTCCAATCCTTGACCAAATTGACCACGCAACCTGAGGTATCCACATACTCGGTTAGCGTAAAGGTGGCACTGGCGCCCCATAGATCCAACTCATGCAGGGCTTCTCGCACGATCACCTCGGACTGAGCGCGCTGACTGAGTGCTTTAAGCTCATCCGAATGCTCAACGATCTGTTTGCTGACACGGATCAGGTCACCGAAGTTCAACTTCACCAAGCTGGTGTCTTTTGGTAGTCCAAGCATACGAAAGGCGTCAAGCCAGTGTTCTTGAGACAATGCTTCTCCGCGGAGCCACTTGAGGCACGGTGTAAACTCCTGTGGAATAGGAAGATAATGAACCAAGACTATAAGCTGCTTCGGCAAACGGTCCGGTTTTAGAGGCAAGAATGTAATATAAATGAATTTTGAGAATCACAAAGGCTGTCTGTAGTGCTAATCACCTAAGACAGCATTTCACCGCAAAGAGACCTACATTTACTCGTCCGGCGTGAAGGATTTATTGGATAAAATTTTACGGTTTCATCAGTTCACCGGTTAGTGTCAGGTCAAAACGAGTGGACTATTTTCGGGGCCTGTTGTCTGAGACGCACCTACATGGGACATGAAAACGGCTATCCAGGCGGTCATGTCCACAGAGCACCATTTGTCTGCCCATAAAAATCCGGACGGAGAACTGGTGCAGCACCTCATCCATGAAAGTAAACTACACCTGAGCCAAAAAATGACCGTAGGAATTGTGTTAGTTACAGTCTACATGGAGTAAACGCCCCATGCACATGAAGCTGATAATCGAATGAATCACCAACGGAGTTAATTATTCTGTTATGTACGCAGGCACTTGGTGTATATCGACGGGATGGCGATGGTCAACCAGGACCACGTGCACACTAGCCTGTGCCATAAAGCGAAGGTGTAGTGGCTGCAGTGATTGTCACACTAACTTGAATTTGCACTGTTGCATAGTGTGCAGGATGCGTCAGCGTGATATGCGTGAAGTGCGCATGACACGTGTACTGAGCGGAGCTGAGTGTGGCACTGCTCACAAATTGGTGCGGAACAAACTGCACATTTATTTTCGTAAATCTATGTATTGCACTCCGGCCGTGAATTGGCGCAAGTTTAACATTAACTCACTCGATTCTGCGGCGAAACGTATTGAGCTGGAGAAGGCGAAGACTGCAGGTCCATGTGATGTGGACTGTATAGGCATAGTGGCTACCTGTGGCACCACATTCGCGACCAGGTGACAGCTGCTGCCGAGGAGACCATCAGGCGCGCAAACCGTAAGCGTTCTGATTGGATTATTGAGAGCAATACGACGACTGGCACATTGGTTGTGAGAATAATGCGGCATTGGCTGCACATGTGGATTACCCCAGTGACTTAGGGAAGAATAGTCAGTTTCGCAGCAATCGACGTCGACTGAGGCGAGAGCTCCATTGCATTAAAAAGCATGGTTGTAGGAGAAGGCGAAGCAGATGGAATACTACGCCAACCCTCGCCAACACAAGGAAATAGTTGACTCATTGTATGCGGTGTATGGACCAAGATTGAAGCCTCCGAGGAAGCTGATCCATGGTAGTTCAGGCGCTATACGCACACAAACTGCAGACATTATGCAGATCTGACGGAAACGGTTTACTTCGATATTTAACAACCGTTCAGAAATCGACTAGTTTACATTGAACGGCCTCAAGCACCAAGAAGGGAAGACGAGTCTGGCAGACAAGCAGACACTGGATGAGACACTGAGAGCACATGATCAGCTGCGAAGAGGCGGGTGTGTTAGTGGCTTAGTAGATTACTACGACTAGTTGGCGGCTTGAAAATATCAGAAGGTGTGCACTAACAAAAATGAAATATAGTATTGAGGCGTGTTCGTTATGTATCAGTACAGTAAAGATATAAAAAGGATAGGCCGGCCCTAAGAATACAATGTACGAGATAGAATTTAATAGTGTTACTCAAAAATAAGGTAATGAGAAAATGGTGACTTATCTCACAGCACAAGTCCTGTTCGTGGGGAAATTGTAGGTCGCGGCCAGTCCGGTCGTGTGATGATTGCCTTGTCGTCGTGGGCGTAGCGCTTTTCTTGACGGTTGTCAAAGCACCAGTCGGGACGGTCGTGTGACGTTCGTTGTAGTCGGTCGGGGGAAAGTCGTTGTCGATGTACTATACGGTTTTATATAATACTTCATTCAGGCGTTCCAACATGTGGGCCGTACGTAGTACGATGTGTGAATGTAGGTCAAGGGGAAGAGAAGTACACAAGGTGAGAATGTGTTATCCGAGACAATCTCGATAAGAATGAAACAGTTTTGTTTTGTTGACCTCGGTCGTGATGTAAGTCACGCGACTCAATTACACGATGTGAGGATGTGGTATCCAAGGCAATCTCGATAAAACTAGGTTTTATTAGGTTGACCTCGGATTTAAGTACACGTGCACGTGGTGATGAAATCTTCCGTTCCGAAGATAGTGTAACGGAATCAAAAGTGCATGTGCAATGCGACCTCACAATACCCTCCTCCTTGAAAAAGTGTATGCATCGGGGCCTGAGTTGTGTCAGCCTGCAACAAAACGGTCAGGCCAATGTACCTGTCTTCCCGATCGCGTGGTGCGTTCTTGATTTCGTCCCGGAATTGTGGGTGGTCGTGTATTGTCGATCGTCAGCATCTTGGCCTTGTCACTGCGTGTTGGATCGTTGTCCGTGTTGTATGTCTCCACTGAATCCGTATACGCCGGTTTCAAACGATCTATGCTGATAGTATCAGGTTTGCCACGCCATAGAATGGTGAAGTATTTCTCTTGGCGTGAAAGTACCGGAAACGGGCCCTCATAAGGAGGTTGTAAAGGTTGTTTTACCCTGTCAGTGCGAATGAAAACATGGGTACAGGTCGAAAGTTCTGGAGGAATGTGGGGTAGTTTTGTTGTGAAAGTGGGTGCGCAGTATTGTAGTTTGCTCATGTGCGTTTTCAGACGAGCCGCATACGTTGGAGGGTCACTGAGTACTGCTGTGTCAGGCGTGAAAAATTGGCCGGGTATACGTAATGTTGTGCCAAAGACCAACTCAGCAGGTGAACAGTTCAGTGTTGTACGAAACATCGTGCGTATGTGAAGTAGGATGAGTGGGAGTTGTTCTGTCCATCTAGCTGAATCACCGTTTGCTTTGAAAGCGGTTTTTAAGTGTCGATGAAAACGTTCGACTAAACCGTTCGCTTGTGGGTGATAGGCCGTTGTACGTATACGTTTGCAACCGAGTAGTTCGGTCAGTTGCTGAAAAAGGTGTGACTCGAATTGTGAACCTCGATCAGTGGTTATGTAGGAAGGAACACCGAAAATGGCAATCCATCTGGTAATCAGTGCGCGAGCAATAGTTTCTGTCGATGTGTCCGCAATAGGAATGGCTTCAGGCCATCGAGTGAAACGGTCTATACAAGTCAGAATGTATGAATTTCCGTTTGAATGGGGTAGTGGACCAACTATATCAATATGAATATGGTCGAATCTGCGATCTGGTTGTGCGAAAGTACCAGTATCAGAGTGCGTATGCCGAACGACCTTAGAACGTTGACACGGTATGCAATGTTTAGCCCATTTGCGTATGTCCACGTTCATATTCGGCCAAACAAAACGTTGCGCTATTAAACGAAGGGTCGCGCGGATTCCAGGGTGAGAAACGTTATGAAGGGCGTTAAATATTTCTCTACGCATAGGTTCGGGTACCCATGGTCTGGGGTTATTTGTCGCCATATCACAGTCAATAGTACCTGGTGCCGAGGGTATCGGAAATGGTCGTATCTTCAACGATGAGGATTGCTTATCCGTATGCGTCGGTAGTGGCATAGCTTTCTGCAGTCGTGCCATGCGTTGGAAATCGATGGAGGATATACCGGTGATCTCGTCGACAGCCGGTCGGGACAAGTTATCCGCTACAATATTACTAGCACCAGTTATGTGTCTAATGTCGCATGTGAACTGTGAGATGTAATCGAGATGACGAATCTCACGAGGTGAATAGCGGTCGGGCTTAGCAAGGAAGGCGGAGACTAACGGCTTGTGGTCAGTAAAAACACAAAATTCACGGCCTTCGAGAAGATGTCGAAAGTGCTTAATAGCTAGATAAATGGCTAAAAGTTCCCGGCCAAAGGTACTATAGTGTGTTTCCGTCGTCGTCAATCTTTTTGAGAAGAAGCCAATGGGTTGCAGTTGATTATTAACGTGTTGATTCAGGACTGCTCCGACGGCTGTATTAGAAGCGTCGGTGTGAAGAGACAACGTTGCGTCCGGACGGATATGAAACAGATTCAATTGATTTTTAAGAACGCTTTTTATTTGCGTGAAAGCTTGCGTAGCGGCATCGGACATTTCAAAATGTTTCTGAGGTCCAACCAAGAGATTTGTTAGAGGAGCTAAAATCTCGGCTGCATGCGGGATGAAACGTCGGTAATAATTAATCATTCCCAGAAACCTCTTGAGTTGGCGGAAGGATGTCGGGGGAGGATACGTTGTGAGCGATAACGAGTTGTGATCTGTTGGTGTCAGACCAGTGCTATCGATTCGGTGACCTAGGTAATCTAATGACGGAACTCCTAGGGTGCTCTTTCGTAGGTTGATGGTGATACCAAATTTGTCTAGACGCTGAAATAACGTACGCAAATGTAGTTTGTGCTCTTCTGGTGTCTTACTGGCTATTAAAATATCGTCCAAGTACGCGAAAACAAAAGGTAGACCATGTAAGACTTGATCAATAAACCGTTGAAAAGTTTGCGCAGCGTTACGCAATCCAAAAGGCATACGTAAAAATTCGAACATACCGAACGGAGTAGTAACTGCGGTCTTATGTATATCGTCAGGATGCACCGGAATATGGTGGTATGCTCTGAATATATCGATGTGCGAGAAGATTGTGCTACCAGCAATGTTCGATGTGAAATCCTGTATATGTGGGATGGGGTATCTGTCAGGCTCTGTAACATTGTTTAGAGCTCTGTAGTCGCCACAGGGTCGCCAGTCATTTGGATCTGATTTCGGTACCATGTGTAGAGGTGATGACCAAGTGCTTTGTGAGGGACGTATTATTCCTAATTGGAGCATGTGTTGGAACTCAGCCTTAGCTATTTTCATCCTATCAGGATTCATTCGACGTGGGCGAGCGTACACTGGATTACCATGGGTTACTATGCGATGGGTTACGTCGTGTTTAATCTCCGTCTGATGGAACTTCGGTTTTAGGAGAGCGGGAAAATCACGTAAAATTGCGGAGAATGAAGAATCAAACATATTCGCGGCAAAAAGGCTTGGTGTGAATGATGGAGTTGTAGTAGTCTGACCAGTAACAGGTAATCGGGTCGTCAAATCTAGGAGACAACGATTGTTAAGATCGACTAACAATTTAAAATGGGTCAAAAAATCGGCACCAAGTAAGGGCTGTTTGACATCCGCTACGATGAATACCCATGTGAAAGAGCGACGTAAACCAAGGTTCAGAGTTAAGGAGCGTTGTCCAAAAGTGGAAATACATGTACCATTAGCTGCAGTCAGTCGTAGTGAGCTCTGTTTGAGGGCATGCTGGCCTTGAGAGGGGGGTATGACACTGATGTCCGCTCCCGTGTCGATCAAGAAATGTAGTCCGGATGTCCGGTCCTGTATGATCAGTCGGCGATTGGTATGTGTCGGGCAGATCATGGTCGCCTCGCAGATCCGCCC